AGAGATGTGTGCAATGGATAGCAATAGTACAAAGGCAAGAGTGTACTGTGTCTGGGGGAAATGACACAACTTGGACTTCAGAGATAAGTAGAAGTCAGCTAGGCCAGCATAAAAGCAGAAGGAATTCCAGTAGAAGGAACAGCATTATGCACAGTCCTGGAGATATGAACCAGCAAGGCCTGCTGTCGCCATTTCACATACTGGTTCTTCCTTTTTAAAAATTAAAGCTAGCATAATTTTTATCCTTTTTAAAAATGTTATTTTTCTTTTTGGTTTCTAAAGCAATACATGTTTGTTTCAAGTATGAAAATTATGTCAAAATGTATGGCCCGGAGAGTAAGAGTCCTCCATAATCCCAACTTTCAGAGATATGCTGTTGTCTGTCTTGTATATATGTGTCTGGATCTTTTTCCTTATACGTGTACCAAAGTGGACTCATACTCAGTCTTTTGCAACCTGTTTCTAAGTCAGTTGTTATTGCTACATGCCGTCAAGTCAGCTCTGCCTCCCGGCAACCCTCTGAATGAGTGATGTCCACAGTGTCCCGTCCTCAGCAGCCCTCCTCAGCTCCTGTAGACTCCTGCCTAGGACTTCCTTTATGGAGTCGATCCATCTCATATTTAGTCTTCCTCTTTTCCTGCTGCCTTCTACTTTTCCCAGCATTATTATCTTTTCCAAAGAATTCTGCCTTCTTATCATGTGCTCACAATAGGACAGCCTCAGTTTTATCATTTTTGCCTCCAGCAATAGATAGTTCAGGCTTAATTTGCTCTAGGACCCACTTGTTCACCTTTCTGGCAGTCCAGAGTATCCATAGAGCTCTCCTCCAGCACCATATTTCAAATGAAACAATTTTTTCCTATCCCAGCCTTCTTCACTCGCCAGCTTTCGCACCCATCCATGGTAACCGGGAATACAAGAACGTGGATAATCTTGGCCTTAGTCTCTAATGACACGTCCTTACACTTGATGATCCTTCCTAATTTTCTCATTGTTGTCCTTCCAAGCCTCGGTCTTCTCTTGATTTCTTGGCTGCAGTCTCCATTTAAACTGATGACTGAACCAAGGTAAACAAAATCTTTAACAATTTCAATGTCTTCATTGCCTACGTCAAAGTTGGGTTGTTCTTCTGTAGTCATGATTTTTGCCTTCTTGATGTCCAAATGCAGTTCTAAATCAGTACATATAATTAAATGTTTTGCACTCTGTCCTCATTTTTTGAATGTTTTGTATGCCATCGTCTGAGTTGAGTGGCAGTTTAGTGTAGTAATGAAACATGGAAGAACTGAAGTCACATAAATCCCAGCTATATAGCTACCAACTGTATGACCTTGGGGAAGTCACTTAACCACCCTGTGCCTCAATTTCCCTGTGTATATTATAGGATCAAAATAATACATATCTACCTCAAATGATTGTTATGATGATCAAATAAATTAATATTTGTAAAGCACTTAGAATAGTGCCTGACAGATGGTAAGTCCTCTAAATGTGAGCTTGTATTAACATAAGGTATTTAACCAGGACCCTATTGATGAATGTTTCTGCTGTTTCCAATTCTTTGCATGCTTAGCTAGTAAAGACACTTCCAAGGCAAGTTTTGAATAACGCTTAACCTCTATTACATTATTTCTTACTAACTTACCAACATCCAACATCTGCTTATAAGCACTTAAAAAACATGTACTTAGATTGTTGACTCTCCTTGGAGGCAGCATAAAACGGGGTGGGAGGGGTGCAGTGGAGTATGTTCTGGGCCAGACCCAAAGGAGTCCGTTGCAGGTTTTCTTTCTGCAGATAGGCCATGCCAGGAAGGTGAATGCTGAGCATAGACTGGGAAAGGAAGCAGGAAGATTCTGATCTGAGGGGTCAAACAGTAAGTCAAGCTGGAGATCTGGGCTGGAAAGAAGCCAGAGAATGAGTGCAGGCCAGAAGCCTATGGCCAGAGACAAACCAGAGGACAGAGAACTCAAAAGGATCCCTTGGGCACCAAATCTTTTAGAAAATAAGTATAATATACCTTCTTTGACATGCTTCATTATATATAGTTCTCATTAACCTATAGCTACAAATGAGGTTGTGTTAACATTAATTCCAAAACTACAAGGCTCTTCCCCTTCTTGCTCATGCAGGACCTCAGCTTCCTCTTCCCAGGCCCTCTGGGCCATTTCTGGGAGTCATGAAGCTGGGGGCGGTTCTCACACGGGCAAAGACAAATTTACTCAAGTTGGCCTGATCTGGCCTCCTTGCCAAGGTGCCTGGCCAGCCACAGCCCCAGGTGCTGGAAACACCTTAGGGAAACAGCTTGGTTACTTCCTCCTGCCCTCCCCTCCACCCAGGGGAGGCATGCCTTGCTGTGTTCTTTGGCAGAATATGTGTAGGATCAGTGGGGAGAATGACTCTATCTCCAAACCTGTATCTACACTCTCTTGTGAATATAACTCCTCTTATTTCTCCCCCTAACTTCAATCTAACTGAAGTTCCAAACATGTCCCCTGAAGCTGAATTGGGGGAAAGGAGAGGATGCCATTTATCAGCCCCACCCCCTCCAGTGTCCTCTCTGCTTTATCTCTCTAGCCACTCAAGAACAAATATTGACTGACCTTTGTAGTGGATTGAATATAAAACTAATCCTAATTCTCTGCCCCTTTCGGTATCTTTGCCCTTTGCAACGAGACACTCAGCTCCTCTCATTAAGGAGTGAAATCTCCCCCACTGCCTTGAATCTGGGCTGGCCTGTGACTGGCTTTCGTCAGCTGAATGTGGCTGATGTGACAGTGCGTCAGCTGAATGTGGCTGATGTGACAGTGCGTCAGCTCCAAGCCTGAGTTCCACTCACTCCCTGGGCTCCTCTGCCATGCCCTGAGAACAGCCTGGGTCACACTGTGGCTCATGAAAAATTGCCTCCGCTGAGAGCCAGTCACCTGCCCAGCAGAGCCCAGAAGAGCTGCCCTGCCAAGCCCGGCCAAGATCCACAGGGTGTAGATGACGTACTTTCACATAAGTGAGGCCAGAGAACCCAGAAGAACCACCCAGCTAAACCACAGACTTGTGAATTAAAATCTGTGTCATTTAAAGCCACTGGGTTGTCTGTTTACTACTCAGCATTATTGTGACAAGAGATGACTGATACAACCCCCTTTCTGATCTCCAAAATCAAAGTTTTTTGCAGATTCAAACAACTGTCTGAGAAGATCAACAAGGAGCCAAACTCTAATTCTCGGTGCAGATTCAGCCAGGACACGCACTGCCCTGACTACAGTCTGCGAGAGAACGATTGCGGCGAGATGGAGTTGCTTTAATTTGGCAGACGTCTGGGAGCATGCTGGGAGAGACACACATGAGGAGCACACGTGTAGGAATGTCCTACCAGTGTTCAATAGGCCACAAAAGGCCACAGCAAGCTTGGCAGGATGACATTTCTTGTCGAAGCTGGCAAGGGAGGCCAATCTCTCCATTTTGAACTGAGTTGGGGCTGAACTGAGACCAAGTATGGCGGGAATCAAGTGGAAGACACAGAGCTGCCCAGGACCTGGAACCAAGTTTATCTACAACCGCTGAGGGAAGGGAACCCCACGGTGGGCATCTGAGTGACTGACATGTTATCAACCGCAGTTTATAATGTCTCTACACTTCTTTCAATATATGCGGTTGCCTCATCTAATGCTCGCCCCACTCAGTGTTGTGACCCCCAGTGAAAGAGTTCCTCTGGTGAAGCTAAGGGGAGGACATTGTTAAGTATGAGAATGCGGTGCCTGACTGAGGATCCCTCCTCTCCACTCTGGTTGCAGGGCAAGCTCTCCTCCTTCATTGTCCCTCCCCACCCCCTGCCTTCATTCGTTATTTCTAAAGACTTTCAATGGAGCCTGCACACCCAGGGCAGATGAATGGAGCTTGAGCCGCCTGGGCAGCTCTGAAGTGTTCCACTGGCCTGTGCTGATGGAGCTTCTTTTGGGCTGGGAGCCTGCCCATCAGAGCAAAGCTGCCCACACAGGCCAGCAAATGGCTGTCCCAAGGCAACAGGACATTAGCTGGAAATCTAAGGATTGACAACTGGGACCACAGGTGCAGAAAAAGCAATAAAGATAAGTTGCTGGTGCTGGCCCAATCATGTAGTGGTTAAGTTTGCACGTTCCATTTCAGCGGTCCAAGGTTTGGGGGTTCGGATCCCAGGCACAGACCTATACACTGCTCATCAAACCTTACTGTGGTGGCGTCCCACATACAAAATAGAATAAGATTGGCACAGATGTTAGCTCAGTGACAGTCTTCCTCAAGCAAAAATAGGAAGATTGGCAACAGATGTTAGCTCAGGGCCAATCCTCCTCACCCAAAAAAAAAAAAGAAAAGAGAAAGAAAAAGAAAAAATAAGCTGATGGCTTATTTCTACCTCTGTTTATCCTTTTCAGTGATTAAAAAAAAAAGAGGCCAAAAGTAGAAAAATTCTTCCTAACTTGGTAGCTTATCTCTTGGTCCTGTTGGGCTGGGAGTGAGGGTGGGCTTGAGTTAGGTCCTGAGAGGTAGTTAATGTTATGTCCTGCTCCCTGAGAGCTCCCAGGAAAATGTTCCCTGGACATTTTCCACTATAGTTATATGGGTGTGGTCCTAATTGCTTGGTAGCTTGCCCTGGGGTGATTTAGGGCAGGGGGACTGTTGACTTGGTGTGTAAAAGTTAGATAAAGAAGGTGGTTGGGGTCTGGGCTCTGGATTGCTTGTTTTGCATATGAAAGTCGTGCTCACAGGCAAGTTGTTTGCTTTCTCTAGGAGTTAGCTAACACTGGAGAGGGCAGACCCTCCTCCCCAAGTCCAAAAGGCCCCGACATGGCAAAGCACCATGAAATACAGAAAACAAAAAATATGATTATACAGTGAGTTAAGAGAATATGCATCCGTCTCTTATCAGGCCTGAGTGACTGAATTATCAGGGACACTATGGCCTCGGGGCCTTCTCAAGGCCACACAGGCAGTTTAGGACTCAGTATTCTGCCCTCTGAGGATTCACAGAAGGCATTCTCACCATCTCACCCCAGCTCTCTTGACCCAGAGCAGTGCTTGGCTTTTTCAGGAAACAAACGGGATGAAAGTCCAGGGCTGGGACTTCCTCCTCGGGGTGTTTGACAAGGACTGACGTACTCTAGGCCCTTTGAATCCCGGAAGTCCCGGACACACCCAACCTTGATTGCAGCATTCCGAATGCTGGAGAGTAGGTAAAACGACAGAAGCAGAAAACATTTCAACATGAGGGACCCACTGACAGATTGTTCGGTGAGTAGCTCAGTGTGGTTTGCGTGCCTGTGTGTGAAAGGGTGGCTGAGGGGTAGAAATATGTACTACCGGATTTTAACTTAAGAAATTTGAGACGCTCAGAAGCCAAACATGTTTAGATATTGGCTGTTGTACAGAAGTCTGCGGTTTTCTTTTGGTTCAATTTAAAACAGAGCCTTTCTAACAAATGACGGGAGGTAATTGTCATCTTTTATTCTCATATTCTTGGGAAAACTTTGAGTGGGTATAGCACCATATTTGCATGCAGATGGTGACTGTTTGGAAAACATTCTTAAAACATACACCTATGGAGCCAACATCATGTGTAGAGTGGATACACAAACACATAGAGCGTCTGTAGCCAATTTCGGGCTCTGAGAAGGAAATTAGGGTGGAAGGTTTTTGCATATTTTCCCATATCATTTAAAGTCAAGAATTGCAAGTCCTGTAGGAGGAAGGACAGATCCTCGCTCTGTCTGGCCCGTGGTGGAAGTCAGACAGGTTACCAGCATGTTTGTTTCAGTCCAGGGAGTGTTACCAAAAGTAGAAGATTGGTCAAAATTCCAAAGACATCGTGAGGTCATTAGCAGCAATAGCAGAGATGTAATTTAGGAACTGAGGAACAATTCAAATAAAGAGGGGAGGAAATAAAGTAATCAAGGGTGGTCAGAGTGTTATCCAAATAAATGATGCCAAAAAGTTAAAATTGGTAACATCAGAAGCAAGGAGTTGCATTCATCCTTCAAGATTTTATTTAAAACAAAGAAACAAACAAAAAACAATGGTGGAGGTGCAGATAAACGGGGCCTGCAATAAAGTCATAAACAAAAAGGTCAACAATTATTGGTTGCATTTGTATTTGTTCGATGGATGAGAAAAGCACGGGCTTAGAGAAGAGGGCTCTGCAGTTGCTATTCCACAGAATGAGTTCGTGAATCAGACAAGCTAAATGAGATGAAGACATAATGGCCAGTAATATTAATAATAACAACGTGCTAGCAGCCTCCACCTGCTTTTACTTTTTTAAATACAAAAGTAACATATCTCATGTAAAAACAAATTCCGACAATAAGGTTATATATAGATTTTAAGAGTGAAACTTCTTCCCTTTAATTTCCTCCAACCGAATCTTCTCTCCGTTGGTAAGCACAGATAACTTTTAAAAAGTCCTTTATGGTTTATTTATTTGTTTGTTTATTTTTCACTTTTGCCTTTGCTTCCTTACTAAAATGTTAACTCCTCTCCTTTCTCACCATTCATACTTGTACGATTTTTTGCATAGGGGTGGTTCAGTGGGACATGGACAGGATAAGTGGCGGCAAAAATTTGGTACCAACAACAGGCACCAAAGAAGAAAGGCAAGACCAAGGGAAGAATGAGATAGAAGAGGGGGAAACTGAGGCCAGGTTAAGTTTAAAAAGAAAAAAAAAAAACCCACAAATGCCTAACATGCTTTTCCAAGGCTGCCTTGAGACCAGGGACCAGGAGAAACGTTTCCTTTTGAGCAGCCCCCAAGACAGGTCATCACCACATCTCTGTGTCAGCTTAATGCTCCCTCCCTAACATGCTGGAGAATTCTTTTCCCTACGCTGAATCATGGCGCCAAGGACTCTTATCCTTGTCCAAATCCTTGAAGGTCATCTCTATGCACCCAGTGCTGCCAAAAGTAGTCTGGGAGTCAAGAGGAGGCGGATATCCCTTCAGTGAGGGTTTCTAAATCTTCTCATGGCATGGAATCATTATTTATTTGCAATTGTTTCATCTTCATCAAGTATTCAAGTTGATTTCCTGATGCAGCCCTAGCTTGTGCTTGGGGAACAATGCTGTGTAAAGATGAGGCAGCAGTGTGGGAACAGAATAAAACAAGGGGATGCAAATGAATGCTTCATGAAATGCTAGGTAGTTTCATGAAGAAACCAAAAAGGTCCCACAGCTATAACCATTTGCAAAATGTCCCATTCCACGAGCCCCTAGGTTTGCACAGAACACAATTAATCATAAAGCCTTGGCTTAGCCACAATTCTTGACCTGATTTGCTCCAGTGGACCCACGTATGGAAATCAGTGTGAAAAACATGACCTCTTTATTTTCCCCAGTTTCTAACTGAAATTTAGAATTCCCTTCAATTTTGAACATAGGCAACAAACTCCAGTACTACTGCAGTGTCTGTAACTTTGTCGTCAATAAAAATCAGGTATATTTTTATATAAGATTACAGTTGTTTATAGATACCTAGAATTATTGTTTACACTCACTGTGACTTAGAAACCTGGGTAATTCTTAAGATTTATTATTTAGTATGTTAATTAAAAAGCACACATAATATCATGATTTTTTTTTAAAGATTGGCACCTGAGCTAACATCTACTGACAAGCTTTTTTTTCCTTCTTCTTCTTCTCTCAAAAGACCACCAGTACATAGTTGTATATTTTAGTTGTAGGTCCTTCTGGTTGTTCTATGTGGAACACCACCTCAGCATGGCCTGATGGGCAGTGCCATGTCTGCACCCAGGATCCAAACTGGCGAAACCCTGGGTGGCCGAAGCAGAGCGCAGAACTTAATCACTCGGCCACGGGGCCCACCTCTATGATTTTGAAATATATTTTTATAAATAGATGTTGAATAATTATACACCTTCCTTTGTGATTCTGATATTTTATTTATTTTTTTCTTATAATTTTTATTTTTTTCAGATGTAAATCATAATATATTTCGAATTCTGTGTAGATTACATCATGTTCACCACCCAAAAACTAATTATGGTCCATCCCCTCACATGTGAGCCTAATCACCCCTTTTGCCCTCCCCCCCACTTCCCCTATGGTAACCACCAATCTAACCTCCATCGCTATGTGTTTGTTTGTCATTGTTTTTATCTTCTACTTAGGAGTGAGATCATACGGTATTTTACTTTCTCCCTCTGACTTATTTCACTCAGCATAATACCCTCAAGGTCCATCCATGTTGTCACAAATGGCCAGATTTCATCATTTCTTATGGCAGCTAGTATTCCATTGTGTACATATACATTTTCTTCATCCATTCGTCCCTTGATGGGCACCTAGGTTGCTTCCAAGTCTTAGCTATTGTGTATAATGCTGCGATGAACATAGAGGTGCAAGTATCTTTATGCCTTTGCGTTTTCAAGTTTTTTGGATAAATACCCAGGAGTGGGATAGCTGGATCAAATGGTAGATCTATTCTTAATTTTCTGAGGATATTCCATACTGCTTTCCATAGTGGCTGCACCAGTTTGCACTCCCACCAGCAGTATACAAGGGTTCCCCTCTCACCACATCCTCTCCAACACATGTTGTTTCCTGTCTTGTTAGTTATAGCCAATCTGACCGGAGTGAGGTGATACCTCATTGCAGTTTTGATTTGCATTTCCCTGATAGCTAATGATGTTGAGCATCTTTTCATATGCCTGTTGGCCATCCGTATATCTTCTCTGGAGAAATCTCTGTTCAGATCTTTTGCTCATTTTTTAATTGGGTTGTTGGTTTTTTTGTTGTTGAGCTGTATGAGTTCTTTGTATATTTTGGATATTAACCCCTTATCTGATAAATGGTTTGCAAACATCTTCTCCCAATTGTTAGGTTGTCTTTTCATTTTGTTGATGGTATGCTTTGCTGTGCAGAAGCTTTTTAGTTTGATGTAGTCCCATTTGTTCATTTTTTTCTTTTGTTTCCCTTGCCCGGTCAGACATGGGACTTGAAAATATGCTGCTAAGACCGATGTCAAAGAGCGTACTGCCTATGTTTTCTTCTAGAAGTTTCATGGTTTCGGGTCTTACATTCAAGTCTTTAATCCATTTTGAGTTGCTTTTTGTGCATGATGTAAGGAAATGGTCTACTTTCATTCCTTTGCATGTGGCTGTCAAGTTTTCCCAACACCATTTATTGAAGAGACTCTCCTTTCTCCATCGTATGCTCTTGGCTCCCGTGTCGAATATTAGCTGTCCATAAATGTGTGGATTTATTTCTGGGCCCTGGATTCTGTTCCATTGATCTGTGTGTCTGTTTTTGTGCCAATACCATGCTGTTTTTGTTACTATGGCTTTGTAGTATATTTTGAAATCAGGGAGTGTGATACCTTCAGCTTTTGTTCTTTTTTCTCAGGGATCTTTTGGCTATTCAGGGTCGTTTGTTGTTCCATATGAATTTTAGGATTCTTTGTTCTATTTCTGTGAAAAATGTTGTTGGAACTTTGATAGGGATTGCATTGGATCTAGAGATTGCTTTAGGAAGTATGGGCATTTTAACAATGTTAATTCTTCCAATCCAAGAGCATGGAATATCTTTCCATTTCTTTGTGTCTTCTTCAATTTCTTTCAACAATGTTTTATAGTTTTCGGTGTACAGATCTTTCACCTCTTTGGCTAAGTTTACTCCTAGGTATTTTATTCTTTTTGTTGCAATTGTAAATGGGATTGTATTCTTAATTTCTCTTTCTGCTACTTCATTGTTAGTGTATAGAAACACAACCGATTTTTGTATGTTGATTTTGTATCCCACAACTTGACTGTATTCCTTTATTGTTTCTAAAAGTTTTTCATGGATTCTTTAGGGTTTTCTATATATAAAATCATGTCATCTGCAAAGAGTAACAGTTTCACTTCTTCGTTTCCAATGTGGATCCCTTTTATTTCTTTTTCTTGCCTGATTGCTCTGGCTAGGACTTCCAATAATATGTTAAATAACAGTGGTGACAGTGGGCATCCTTGTCTGGTTCCTGTTCTTAGAGGGATCGCTTTCAGTTTTTCTCCATTGAGAATGATATTTGCTGTGGGTTTGTCATATATGGCCTTTACTATGTTGAGGTATTTTCCTTCTATATCCATTTTATTTAGAGTTTTTATCATAAATGGATGCTGTATCTTGTCAAATGCTTTCTCTGCATCTATTGAGATGATCAAGTGATCTTTATTCTTCATTTTGTTAATGTGGTGTATTACGTTGATAGATTTGCAGATGTTGAACCATCCCTGCATCCCTGG